GCGGTGAGGAAGGGAGGGCGTTGTGCTTAAAAACAAATAAATAAACAGCCCACCTGCTTGGAGAGAACTTAGAAAGCCAGGTCTTGAATTCCTGGTGGAGCAGTCTCCAGTGGTGCTGTCTGCATCCCAAGCGCAGGTCTGGTCACAGCTCTCTGTTTGAAGATGTAATCATGCTTGGAGCACACACTGGTACAGGCATGCACGCAGAAGTCGGATAAGTCTGAGGGATCTGATTTGCCCATGCTGAGCCAGATGTTCCTGCCACAAGGTGATAGAAATCTTTGCTGTTAGTCTCCACTTGCTCTTTTCTCCCTCCCACTCACCTACTTGATCATTCAGCATGGGGTATTTACTGCAAATGAAAGCCAAAGGCTAGTGGTTGAAGGCAAAATGCATTGCAATGTCCTCTAGGTTTCTTGCATACCATGAGCAGAGTGTAACCGTGATAGTGCCCCAAGGCTGAGGTTGGAATGGTGCATGTACCATGTATAGCAACGTTAAGCTACTGCTTCCCCTGCCTCAGACAAAATTGGCAGGGCCTCTTGCACGTGCTGGAGTTCTTACCTGTCACGGGGTGAGGGGGGGCATGATTTGGAGCTCCTCAGCTGGGAGAACAAACACTATCAAAGCCAAATACATTAGAAGGAGCAACTTTCCTGAGGGTAGGGTTCGGCACTAAATACCTCATGAGGTGTGTTTTCCCCTAAAACCATAGGCTGCTTACAAGCAGCTTCACCTTGTTGCTTTGCAGTCTCTTGAGATGGAGCAAATAACTCTCTCCATGTTGGAACACGACCAGCTTCACATATCATCACGCTCATTACAAGCTGGTGGAGTTTACAAGGAATGTCTTTGGCACAAATAAGCTTTCAGGAAGCTTGTGAAAGGTGAAGTCAACAGTAGCTCTCATCTTAGACCTGGGAGCATGTAAGAAGTGCACCTCTGCTGCCACTAGCTGACTTCAGTGCACTTGGTGCTGTGGAGAGCTCTGCTGTCCAGGAGGGCACACGCCTACCTAAACCCCCACCCCACTGCAATGGGTTCCTCTCCAGTGTAGCAACTGAGACAATTTTTGGGGTAAGGGAAAGAAGAAACTCCTCCTTCCACCTTTGGGAAAGTATTTTCCTGACTACGGCACTGATCCTTGAGGTGTTTCTTTGAACCAGTTATTGGTGACTAATCTGGCTTGGAGTCTGCACTCAGAAATGGCCAACACCAGACTAATTTTCCTTCTTAAAGTCTGAGAACGTGCTGCCCAGGGCTAATGGAAAAATCTTTAGTGATGCAACTGCTGTCTGTGTCTTATGTCTCCATTAAGTCACACCTCTGTGCTGCAGAAGTTAAACTCCCTTGCCCAGCGCATCCTACTGAGGCAGGACTATTTTGTGTTCAGGAAGCCTGAAGATCTGTGTTCTCCTTGTGATTTGCTAAAATGATATCTGGGATAGAATTGTTGCATCTTTTTCCTTGGGGCTGGGGGTGTGTGTTTGCTTGTTTCTTTGGGGGCGTGTAGATAGAGGATTAATAATGGTTCCTTGTTGAAATGGGAGCTGACACTGATATCTGAAGAATTTTGAGACTCCCTTCATGAAATTAGAAAAATGGTTTTGTTTGTGGCTTTTTTGGTTGGTTATGGTTTTTTTTTTCTCAAGTGTTGTCATCAGCAGAAGGAAAGGGAAAGCAATTGGTGGGGAGAGGTGGAAGATTTTCATCACAGTTAACTGGTGGATGCAGTAAGTATGTGGAGCTCAAAAGATGAACTGCTTTGAAAGCTTGACCTCAAATGGATAATGCTGCAGTTGACCTTTTGGGAGAGGTCTACTTACAGAAGAGTAGAAAGACTTTACACAAAGGTTGATGCAAAACCTGGCTTTGTGTTGCATAGGAAAGTGAATCCTGCCTCTCTGTCCCCTTTCCTAAACTGTCTGAGGAGACAGGTGCTCTGGCACAAGATGGTGTGATGCTATAGAAACACTAAGTAGAAACGTAGGAGAGCTGTCCGTGTGCTGGACAACTCTGCAGGTAGAAGCCTGCATCCTGCAAGAGAGAGAAAGCAGAGGAGCAAAGTTTATAAGGCAGAATTTATAAACCCACTGATGTGTTTTAATAAATGGATGGGATTTGTTTCAAACTTTGGAAGTTTGTCTTTTCCTTTGTATTGGTTGACACCACCTCTCCTTACAAATCCTGGTTTTGGTGCTAATTTTCAGTTGGAAAAGCATTGGGAACTGGAGGGGGTTAGTATATCTGTAGCTAGAAGAGCTAGTGGTGGGCAGCTGCTGAATGTCTGTTTTCCCCATGCAGGAGAGGAACTTCTCCATTGGTTTGTGACTTGTTGCCAACTAGAACCTTGTTTTTTTGTTTCCTTCAAGGTGCTCTGAATGTCAGGATCCCCTCACTAACTGGTACTATGAGAAAGATGGGAAGCTGTACTGTCACAAAGACTACTGGGGGAAGTTTGGGGAATCCTGCCATGGCTGCTCTCTGCTGATGACTGGACCTGTGATGGTAAGGGCTCTAAAGGGCTGCCCGGAGGCAGGACATGCCTGTCTCCAACTGCTCAAAGTTGGTTGGGAGTTGCCCTAGCTGTTCAGATGACCAAATAAACAGAAAGTAATAGTCTCTTCGCTATTCTAATCTCTAACCAGATATTAGAAATGAGGCTTGTCTGTGCATCTTCTAGATAGAGATTAATTTTGAATGGGGGTAACTCTTAAAGGAAGGAGTTGTGAGGATCTGAAGCATATGAATGAAGAAAGTAAGGTGCTGAAATGCACAGGCGTAAGAAGTAGAAAGGTGGTTAACGGGGCATCTGTTCAGTTTCTGTAGCACAGTGCCTCAGCATCTCCATGGGGTGATTTTCCACTGCACTGCAGAGTCAAACCACTCATCTCAGGATAAGCAGCAGGTTCTGGCTTTGGGGAAGGTTGCCATCCAAGTCCCACCTGGACTGTGGCCAGAGTGCTTTTCTGGCTCAAAGTAGCATTAGCCCCAATTGCTTTGAAACACTGAATCTGCCTGCACAATATGGGGCTCCCTAAATGTTCCCCTCCTTGCCACAACCTTGCAACTATTTAACCTTTAAAACTGTCAAGAATGAAACGTAACCATTATTTTTCTAGGGCCCAAATAAAAGCAGCATGGTACTCAGTAATGTGATTGCTACTTCAAAGGGAAGTGCTGAGAAAAGTGCAGACAATTTCTCATTGCCTGCAGAAGTCTTTGCAAAATACTGTCAATAAGGGAAGTTCTCATAAGGAAAACAGAAAAACAGATCAATGAATAAAAATATTCTTTAAAGGTATTTTGTTGTCTCAGTCTCAGCTCACTTTTTTTTTTCCTGTCAGCTGGCTGGTAAAGTATCTGAATTTGTGCATTGCCTGTCTGCCAAAAAAAAAAGCCCTTTCAGCTTTATTAATTCAGGCGTAACATTAGTTATCTTGCCAAAAGCAACTGAACAGGAAGGTTTAATATCTTGTTTACTAGTCTGCAGCAGACTATCAGCTATTTTTGATAGTTGAGCAGCTGCCAAATATAGCAGAGGTTCCTGGGACAGAAGTTTTGCTTTGCATGTTGACGTGTTTGTTTCAGAGAATTTTTGCAAACAAGGTGCCAAGGAAAGGGGTTCGGGAGAGGTAGAATGGGCTCATATAACCCTCCAGTAAAAAACTGCCGCTTGACTTTGAGATCTAAATGAACATGTTAATTAGAGAGGAAGGCAGTAGCTGCATCTGCTGATGGATTTTGGCCCTACTAAGCTACTCCCTTTTCTGTCTGTAGGTGGCTGGCGAATACAAGTATCACCCCGAGTGCTTTGCTTGCATGAGCTGCAAAGTGATCATTGAAGACGGGGACACTTATGCACTCGTGCAACATTCCACTCTCTACTGGTAAGACGAAGCTGCATGCTTTGCCACAGAGTTGCTCCCTGCTGTATGTGTAAGCCATGTTTAGCTGGCTTAGTGTTGTTCAGCCAAATGCTATGCTAAGGAATGTGAGGAAGCTGCCTTTTGAGGGAGGGAGGGAGGAAGGAAGGAATGGAGCAAGCACTAAAAACTACAGCTTATGGTCAATGAGAGAACTTAGAAGTGTGAGTTTGGTAGGGAGGGATAGGACACTGCCATAACGACTTTCTTCACTTCTTTTAGTGGAAAATGCCATAACCAGATTGTGCTGACACCAATGATAGAAAAACACTCCACTGAGTCTCTGCGTGAGCAGCTGCCTTATACGCTGACCCTCATCTCCATGCCGGCAGCTACTGATGGCAAGAGGGGGTTCTCTGTGTCTGTTGAAGGTGGCTGCTCCAGCTATGCCACTGGTGTCCAGGTGAAAGAGTGAGTATGACAAGGTTGTGTGCAAGGTACATGGCTGTGCAGAGGGAGCTGGTGAAAATTCTGCAGTGCTGTTGTCCTGCCAGCTGCTTCAACTGCTGAGGGGATCTGTCTCAGCATAACAGGGACCCGTGCTGGCTAATAGCCATTCGTGTGTGGTCTCCATTTTACTCTTGTGATGACCTTAATTGATAACTTTATTTCTCAGTGCCGTCTCCTTCACTGAACACAAAACGTTTGGCGAATTGTAATGGACTAACAGTTTTTGCCACTGGGCAAATGAAGAGCTCTCCCCAAACCAGCTCTAGCATTTGGTCTAATGGTAGCTCCCTGTGTTGGTAGATTAGCATTGTTTTATTTCAGAATACCAATATGAAGGGAAGCATCAGAGATCAAATATTTTGTGTAATTTTGGCTAAACTGACTTCCCACACACACTGTAATTCCCATGTTTAGAGTTAACAGGATGCACATCAGTCCAGATGTCCGAAACGCCATCCACCCTGCAGATCGTATCCTGGAGATTAATGGAGCTCCTATTCGTACATTACAGGTGGAGGAGGTGGGTAGAGTTCTGTTCTGAAGCCTCCTTCTCATCTGCCTTCCTATAGCTTTTCTGTTTCTCGGCACTGTTCTCCCACCCTACATACAGTGCCTGTACACTCATAGTACTCATGCTGACATTAGGAATAAACATGAAGACAAGTTTTGCTACTCCTTCCAGCTGGAGAGGAAGATGTAACAGATGGAAATGCAATTAGGATGCAGTTCTTATTTTGTGGCATTCAAACATGAAGGGACGTAATAAGAAAAGCATAGGGCTGTGACATCTCGGAGGACAGAGAGGCCTTAAATAAGATTGAACCTGAGATCAATTTCTGTTGCAGCCTCATGCTTTGAAACTGCCCCTTGAGACAGGGAATCATTAAAACATCTCGAACATTACCTCTCGAGCATTACATGAAGAGTCTTCATGTAATGCTAGTGAAGTCCACTTTCTGATCCTTTTAGAGGCAACTGCTAATAGACAAAGGCTCAGCTGATCCTAGGGAAAAGTAAGTATTTGCAAGTAAATGCTTTATACAGATATCAGGTGATGCTGCAAGAATGTAGTGAGACCAGTATTACCTTCACTATGCGAGGGTTTTATTTACGGTTGGTGCTGAAGGGAATATTAGGAGTGCAATAGGCATCTCTCGGATAAATCTCCATGTAGGTAGTTTTTGAACATTTCTCAGAAAAAGGAAAAAAAAAAAGTGTTTGGTCACTTGTAGCTGACCAGAACGAAGAGGATTTGGATAGCATAAGGAACTTCTGTGTTGCTAGCTTGATTTGTCTGGTAGACAGCTGTGGTGTGCGCAACTAAACCACAACTATGGAGTGATCTCACTGAACTCTCTACTCTGATTCCTGAGGGGCATTCTTTTGTGTCTCCTCTATCTCCTGTCATTTGTGTTCCTCCTGTCTGCTATCATCCTGTCCTTTTGGTCTGATCGCAGGTGGAGGACTTGATTCGCAAGACAAGCCAGACGCTTCAGCTGCTGATAGAGCACGATCCTGTCTCGCAGCGCTTAGACAGGCTTCGTTTGGACTCCCGTCTTCCCACCCACATAAAGCCGCCCATTTCCCCACGCTCCCTCTCTCCACTGGACATCAAGGAGAATCTGGAAGGAACGCTCCGTCGTCGCTCCCTCAGGTAAAGACTTGGCAGTGCTGCCTCTGACCTAGCTTGCCTTTGCCCTGTGCTGCCTGGCTGGGCTGCTCTGTGCCTAAGACCTGCATTGCAAATGACTGCAGAGACATGACTCATCTCTGATAGGAGCCTTGGTAGAAACCTCAGGCGAAGCAGTGGAGAGCTTTAGATTCTGCTGTTGACATTCACCCTCTCCATTCCCTTTCAGGGTGGCAAACTTTCCTTAATAAAAATAAGGAGCTCTACTTTTAACATAGGAAAGCTGCTAAGTTTCACAGTTAGAAAAGGTAAAGGTCAGATTTTTACTAGCCTTAAATGGCTGCAGAAGAATGTGTCCTTAAATGGAATACAGCTGAGACCTGGGATTTGGGGAAAAAAAATTGTCATCTTAGGCTGGGGCACTCACTTGCTCATTTAGTCATTTACCAGTATTTTAAGCTTCATCTAGAGATAGCAAGAGCTGCACCTTCACAGCTACCTCCTTCTGTTCACAGATGTGTTGTTGTTAGGCAGCTCTGACTTGGAAGCTGCTCTAGGTTTGTACGGAGCTTCCATGGTGCTGGGAAAGCATCTGGCTTTTGAGATATGAAGAGCACTGAAGCACATCTAGAAACTGGTCCCTTAGGAGCTAATGATGGGATATCTTGTACCAAAAGTTTCCCAGCAGCTTCCCTGATCTTCCTGTCTCCTTTGTTTTCTAGGCGAAGTAACAGCATTTCTAAGTCTCCTGGCCCCAGTTCTCCAAAGGAGCCGCTCCTTCTGAGCCGTGACATCAGTCGTTCTGAATCCCTACGTTCCTCTTCTAGCTGCTCCCAGCAAATCTTCCGGCCCTGTGACCTGATTCATGGCGAAGTACTAGGAAAAGGATTTTTTGGACAAGCAATCAAGGTGAGGGAGGTCCCAAACATTCATCATTTACTTTGATTACAGCAATGTCTGCCTGTCTTGGGATCCTTTGCCATTGTCTCTCAGTGGCCTTGGCCCTGCTGATAGTGATCAGTCTTGGAACTCACCTGGTTTGCTCAGTGAGATCCATTTCTCTGTTTCATTTCCTCACCATGCGTGTCTCTGGCTGCAGGCAGTTTTGATTTTGTCTCCTTTGAATGTCAACCTTGGCCATACATACTCATCTCCTGAGTTAGACTTAAAGCTTCAGAGTGCCTGTGTCACAACAACCACGTGGGTGACATGGTGAGAAAGGGGAACAAGCTACACTTTCTCTTACAAGCATCTTTCTTATGAAGAGGTGTATTCAACTCCCCAGCACAGCATTTCTCGCCCACCCTTACTGTGGCATGCTTCGGGGTTTGCCATGCTGATGTAGTGATCATCTCTGAACCCCGAGCAGAGCCTAAATGGCTTGTCAGTTTGGTGGTAGTGGTCAGGTCTTGCATGACTCTCACAATTAAAATCTCCATTAATAGCAGTTCTGTTATATTTAAGCTCTTCAGTCTTGATTTGGGGTGTTTCAGCAGCTCGTATCCTGGAACCCCTGACAGCAATAGGGGGCAGTTTCCTCTGCCTTACCAAGGTGCTGTGAGCTCCTCAGTACTCAGATTGCTGTTCACCTTGTTATGGGACTTCTCCCCTTACACCTGTATAAACTTCAGGTGTCCAGCCACCATATTCATCTCATGGTTCCATGGGAAGTTGTGAGCCAGTACTACAGACCCAATGCTTTTGAACCATACTAATGAGCATATTTCTCTCCTCCTCTGCTCATAGAGAAATAACAGGTCCAGGTAAGCGGAACCTTTCCTCTGTCGCATGCTTTTGTCATCTGCGTCCCCACAGTTAATGGCACAAATGCATTTTCTGCTCAAATTACCCAATAGCCATCCTATTCTGGTGCATGCTCTGGGAGTTAAAATTGCCCTCTTGGATTTTCATGATGACACTTGTTTCAGATTTGCTGGTATGTCAGCTTAAGAATTCCACTTAGCCTTGTCTTGTCTTTGTTTTTTCACTTCCCTTTAAAATCTTGGGGTATTAGATGTCCCTGGCTTTCATGTCCCTGGCTGAAATGTGTGGTGTTCCCTGGCTCGCTACTTCTATATGGATGCTTGATTTCAGATGCGAGCAGAAGAATATTGTACTCTTGCTTCTGTTGTGTTACTCCATGCATTCGTATTCCACCTATGTCAGCCTTGCTGTGTCCCATGGTTCTAAACAGAACTAGCGTGCCACAGTGTTTGCAACAGCTCATACGCTTCCTAAATACTACAACTGGGTCTTGTGTTCTGGAGGTTTTCTGAAAAGCTTTTTGTTTTAAAGGGTATGAGGCAAAAAAGTGACTCCTTTCTTGAGCTTCAGATTGACAGTTTTTAATGCAAAAAGTACTGTATCTGGTCAGAATAGTTCCTTTCTGTTCCTAGAGAGGCGGTGGTGGTTTAGTTACATGGAGATCTTAGGGAGACCGAGCTGTCCCAGTTAAGCAAATGAAGAGGAGAGGATTTCCAGGAAAACCTGCTCATCAGCACATGGACCCTTTCTATTCATTCATTCTATTCATTCATTCGTGCAAGCAAGGCAGAGCTGATTAAAAGAAACCTCTTGAACACAGCAAAATGTGAGGAACTAGTTGGCTACAGGCAAACAGCTGTTGAAGAACTGGAAATGCTTTCCATATTGGGAGCCAGGAAATTTATTACCTGATGCTTATGCTGGATTTCTGTGTGTTTGCCACCATTCTGGGATATTCCTTGCAGGTAACAATACACTGCTCCCAAGGAGCATGGTGAAATAACTGCTTCCTGCCTTACCTGAACAGCCTGTACATCCCAGTTCCGCTTGCACATGAGTAGGTTTGATAAGCTCATCAGAAACCATCAGGCTTCAGAGTCCCCATGAAACCAAAGCATGTAGTAATCTAGTTTTGGGTGGTTTGGTTTCTGATGCAAGTGAATGTTGATTCCTTTGCTGATATAGAATGTAGTTGTTAGGGTCTGTGTACAAAATATGAGCATCACGCTGGGCAAGTACTTTCTGTAAAGGGAACGTGAGGCATGCACAAGTATGGAACTGATGCCTTCAAAGGCTTTGGCAGCCTCTATGCATGCTCAGCCCTATGCTACCTAAAATGGGGACTTCAGCTCTCTAGTTCTTGGGATGCTGTTGATCTCGTGGTATGATCCTTTGTCAGCTTTAGGTAGTTTCTGTTTCACGTACAGAATCTTTGCTGAATTCTGAAAGGAGAAATTTTATGCAGTTTTCTGCAGATCCCTAGGCTCTGAATTTTCTCCCATCTGTATTCCTCTCTGGGTGGAAGGGAATGTTACTCTCTCTTTCAGAAGAGCTGCAAGAGCATTGGAGCTATGTATTCTCAAACCTTGCCTGTAGTTGTGGTTTATGTTTCCACCAGGTGACTCACAAAGCAACAGGAAAGGTGATGGTGATGAAGGAGCTGATTCGCTGTGATGAGGAAACACAGAAGACTTTCTTGACAGAGGTAGGAGCAATATTTCAAAATGCTTCTGAGCCACTAGTATGGTGGAACTCTTTTCCATCTTCTCCAGAGAAAGAGCAATCATGTCAGCAACCAGCAGGAATCAAGGCGCTGAGGAGGGGGACATCACACGGGGAAAAGCTGACATGAGCTGAATGTTTGCTGCAGTGAAGTGTGAATCACTTACACTGAGCAACAGACATGGCTTCAGCTCCCAGTTCATTAATTTTTCAACGATAAAAAGCAGCCTGAGTCTGAGGCAAATTGAGCTGTGCAATACGTAAAGGATTTATCCCTTGAGCCTTGTGCATAAATACAAATGATGAGGGCCAATATCTGTAAGATATTTAAGACTCCTGCTTTATTTGAGCAAAACTATTTTCTTGGTGGTTGCCTACCATGTTTTTCAAAGTCAGATTTAGCTTAAAGGCAGCTCCCTAAACACCTGATGCTGCTATTCTGGCCCTGACACATGCTCATACAGACCAGATAGCTACCCTGGAGAGCTCCTGTCTCTTAAAAGTTTGCCAAACTCAAGGGTGCTGTCCTTAAAGACTAAGATCAGGTTAATTGCACAGTGTGAAAATGAAGAGGCAACAGTTAATTGACTGCCTTAAAGTTGGGGTTTGAGTGTACTCTGTGATCTCTGGAGGGGACCTCCAGCACTGGAGTGCTTGTCACCACAGAGCAGATCTGTCAGGACTTGTTCTGTTCTCTTCTTTGGGGTGGGCTGTCTCTGCTTCCCAGGTGAAAGTGATGCGCAGCCTGGATCACCCCAATGTGCTGAAGTTCATCGGTGTACTGTACAAGGACAAGAAGCTGAATCTCCTCACTGAGTATATTGAGGGGGGCACCCTGAAGGACTTCCTCCGCAATGCGGTGAGTATGGAAGCCTGGTAGACCTCTACTCGGTGAGGTTGACTGGTGTTGGTTGTACCAACCTTATGGTGCTTGTTGTTAGTTGTCTAAAAGCTGCTGCTTAGCTGCGGGCGACTTGAGGCAGGAAGCGCTCTCTTCCTGGGGCTGTATCATCTTTCTCTGACTGCTGCAAGAGTCCTTGTTGTGGAGGAATTGCTGTCACCAGCTGGCTGGTAAGATAGTCCCTGACCTTTGAGGACTTGTCTTTCAGGACCCATTTCCCTGGCAGCAGAAGGTCAGCTTTGCCAAAGGAATTGCCTCTGGAATGGTGAGTCAGACTGTCCCTTCATCACAGAGCAAACCTCCAGGGTCAGGGTTAGCTGCTGCAGCAGCGTGGTGCATGAGGAGTCGTGGGTGCTGCCTGACTACTAGCAACTGGTTGTTGAGGTCTGTAAATGTGACGGGACATACTCTCCTGGGAACCTCTTAACACCAAATGTTCTCCCTCTGTTCCAGGCTTACTTGCACTCCATGTGCATCATTCACAGAGACCTGAATTCACACAATTGCCTAATCAAGTTGGTGAGCTACACCTCTCTTCCTCACAGCATGCTGCTCCCCTCCTTGTCATCTTCCTCCCTTGGTTTTCTCCACATGATGTTGTTCCCTCTTCTGTCAGGGTGGAATGGATTTCAGAGAGACTTTTAGTGCCCTAAACAAAGGAGCTTCATCTTCTCATAGGATTTTCCAGACTGATGTAGCTTTCACTGTTTCTTCATTCTGTTCTCTTAAGTCCTTTCCTGTGGTAGCATCTCCAATTAACAATCATGTTATGAGAGTTAGTACAGCTCTGTTCCTTATCTCAACTATGAAATGTTCTCTACAGCTGCCTCTGTTCTTTTAACCACTTGATGACTTTATTGGCACTCAGGATTTAGACACGTGTGCAGGTGTGTGCTAATATGTGTACTCTTTCTTTTTGAAATGCTAGGTCACAGATTTTTATGTAGCTTCATTCTTTCAAGCCTTGCCTTTTTCACTTGGCTGTAATATGAGATTAGCATGTAGGCTTCAAACCACCCAGGATGAAAGCCTAAGTTAATTCCGGCCAGGTAGAATAGGAGGGTCTGAAAGGAAGCTTGTCTGACAGCTTGCTACACTCATCTGGCTGCAGGAACCTTGCTAGTTGCCCTTACAGTGTAGTTGATAGTGAACAGGAATTGCAGCCTCTTTGCTCCTGAGAGGAATCCATGGCTTGTACTAAATCCCTTGTGTAGGATAAGACGGTGGTGGTGGCGGACTTTGGTCTGTCTCGGCTGATTGTGGAGGAAAGAAAAAAGCCCACCTTGGAGAAGCCATCTGCCAAGAAACGAACCCTACGCAAAAGTGACAGGAAAAAGCGCTACACGGTGGTTGGCAACCCATACTGGATGGCCCCAGAGATGCTAAATGGTAAGATACTGATACCAGGGTGCAGGTGAGGAGACAGCCTGTGACGAGGTATAGGGATGATAGGATTACCAAAAGCTTCTGGCCCCTAGTAACAATCAAACCTATTAAAGCCTATGGTTTTAGACCTGCTAATACGCAAGCTTATTTATACACACAGGTACCCTAGCTGCACTTTTCTTGCGGTTCCTGACCTGATAAGCCTTTGTACCAGGCAAGGTAATGTTTCTGGCTTGACAGCAGGATTCTTCAGGAGGGCAACAGACCTAAACTTGTTATGGTCCAGATAACAGGGAAGACAAAAGAGGCCTGAAATAAGTTTGAACCTGAGATCAATTTCTGTTGCAGCCTCATGCTTTGAAACTGCCCCTTGAGACAGGGAATCATTAAACTCCAGGGTGAGGCTTATGTGTGCTGTTACGTAGATCCAGGAAGAAGTCATGCTGCTACATTTGCTGAAGTCTCGGGATTGGGGTGGGAGTTGTCCAAGTGCAGGGAGATTTGGGTTTTGGCGTGCAGCCCTCTATTGCATTAAGGATTAACTATATCCCTTAGGGGAAAAACTGCCCCTGCAGAGTTGAAATAAGGGTGAAATACAATGGATACAGTTTCCTCCTAATGAGCAGGTCGGTCTGACCAGGCTGGCTGTGATAGCAATATTGTCCAACATAGTCCACCAGGGAATGAAGGACTGGGCTCCTTTCCCCCAGCTCAGCTCTTCTCCATATTGCATTCTTGTGTGCTGTTTTGCTTTCCTTCTCCTAAGGCTACTGGAGCCTGAGGCTGCTTCTCAGAGCCTCTCTCAGACCTGGCATTTGTCAAGAGAACAGCAAGAGCGGAGTCTGACATCACCTCTCAAAGCAAGGCTGTTTACCAGATATTGGCTTAGGAGGGGAGTGTCTGTAAGCAGAGAATGGCATGCTGGAGCCAGTCTGCTTTCCCAGATTCAAAGTGCTGCTAGTGTGTAATTTATTATCTCAGCAGTCACTGCAGCAGGGACTGGGCAGTCGCTGGCTGTTGGGAAAGCTGAACACTGGCTCAGTACACTGTAGAGATGCACTAGAACAGCAATCAATGGAAGTGGACAGAAGCTTTCCACAGTCATCCTTAGTATTTGCTCAGACCTCTGATACACAAGCCTTCCCAGTGTTGTCCTGTAATTCCCAGTCAGAAACAAGAAGCAGGGTTAAAATATGTGATGGCAGTGTATAGGAAGATGCAGTTGTTATACGTATCTTGGGGATTTAAGCCTTGCTTTGTCTCCTGTTTTAGGGCCCTCCAGGGAATAGGCTTAGTTCATCTTTGGACTGGCAGCTCCTGGAATAGCTGGATGGGGAACTGTCTCTCACAGAGCTGAATGTCTTATGTTTCCTGCAGGACAGAGCTACGATGAGACAGTGGACATCTTTTCATTTGGGATTGTTCTCTGTGAGGTAAGACCAGGACATTACATGGCATCTTTAATGGACTTCACCTTCCCCATTGCAGTTGCCTTGCACATGTTGTATCAGCCAGTTCTCTGTGTCAGTGTGCAGCCTGTGACCTAACAACACAGTGAATTAGGCTGGGAGTACGAGCTTATCCTGCCCCTGTTCCCTCAAGGAGGATAACTGTTTTGTAACGTTTTGGTCACAGAGAGTGTTTCTTCCTGGACTGAAAGAAATACAGGGGTTCCTCCTGGACTGAGAGAAGCTGTAAAAATGTCCATCAAGTTCTGACTGAGCCCTGGTATCCATTTGAATGTAGACATATTCTCTAAAACTATGATACTTTTTTTTTATTTCTACTGCCTCATTAAAAGAACAATCAGCTATATAATCTCAGCAAATTCAGGGCCTCCACTGTGGATGGCAAACCCTTCAAAGAAGGGGAAACTGAAACCTGTTTGCAGGTTGATTAATGAAGCTTGCACCCTGAAGTCTGTTGGCTTTAGTTTATCTCTGAGCCAATACACAGTCTTACTGTCTGCAAAGCAAAGAGCAGCACTCAAAAGCTACAAGGTATTTTCAGTTTAAAAGGTGTGTAAGACCATGGAAATACAGATGGAAGGTAGGATGTTATGTGTGCGGATAACAGCAGTTACAGGAACACCAGGGGAGACCAGCAGTTTCATCTTCAGTGTTTAAAAGAAGGGAACAAGCAAAATATCTGTGCATAAATCTTTGTGGCCTCATCTGGAGCTGTATTTACACTGGGTCCTCCTCTCAGAGAATGTTGTGGTTGTGAGTGATAGATTTAGGAACTTGAAAAATCTCTATGTGGGATTAAAACAATTGTTTCATCTAGGAAAAAGACAAATAAAGGGGTAGTAGCATATTAACATTTTCCTTGTCACCAAAATAAAAATACTAAAAAAAGAAATTGCACACTCAGATAAGGAGGTAACGGTGCCAAAATACATAATGGGCGTTCCACTGCCTAGTTACAGGATGTGGTTGTCCTCCTGAGTTATTGGCATAGAAAAGCCTGGGTGGTTATATATAACACCCTTTTCGTGATACCCGATGAGGCTTTAAAGCTGATATTCTTCCCCATGTGAGAGTTTGTATTGACATTGACCTTGGCTGAGTCCAGATCACCTCACAGCTCTCCACTGTGGGCTCCTTCCCTCTTACTGCACTTTGAGTCCCCTACGGCTGGAGGTGGCGAGTGCAGCTCAGTGGGCTAGGTGGTGAGCACTGGGACTTCTGAGTGCTGGGGCAGGACTTCTGTTCCACCCAGCTCTTTCCTGTACTGCCTCTCGCCTGCAACCTCCTGGGTGTTGGTTATGGTTGTTCTTCTCTCCGCCCCTACACTCTCTCTGTGGGTGGGGTTCAACCTGCCAGTAACAGAGCAACTCAGAATTTGCGGTGCTGTTGACTTCACACCATTGTTTAGGACAGGGTCTGTAGACCAAGGAGGTCTGCTGGTGGTAGTGAGAGGGGAGGGATGTGCTGGTGATGCAGGTTGTGTTGATTACCTGTGATCAGGAGGAGCCGCATCATCCTCAGCAGCATACAGTACAGTAGCTGATCCAGCAGCGAGATGCTGTTGAGCTCTCTGGGCAGTGCATGTCATCCTGTATCTTCTAGCAGAGAAACCCTGGGGAGAAATAGAAGGGCATCTGGGCCTTCACAACTGTGGCCACATCACCAGGTCTTGAAAAAGTTTCATGCAAAGTTTGTATGCACTGCCTTGTTCATTCCCCTGTGCAACTAGCCTAATTGGAAAGGAGGAACAGTATTTCTGCTCTGTCCCTTGCACCCTAATGCTTTGAAGGAGCCTCTGCCCAATGCTGAAGTTCCCTGTTTATTAACACTCTGGAACTGTTACTGTACTTAAGTGCTTCTCTCATTTTTCCCTAGATTATAGGCCAGGTTTATGCTGACCCGGACTGTCTGCCACGCACACTGGATTTTGGCCTTAATGTGAAGCTGTTCTGGGAGAAGTTTGTTCCTGCTGACTGTCCTCCAGCCTTTTTCCCTCTGGCTGCCATTTGCTGCAGACTGGAACCAGAGAGCAGGTAGGTCTGGGGTCTGGAGGACTCCTCTTTGTAAGCCTGAAGGGTGTGTCTGTATCCCCTTGGTGGAAGGATTGCTCTGCACACAGGGTGGAGAAGGGCTGTATTCCAGCCTTCTGTGGGAATGCTCAAAGGCTTCCACATGAGGCGAGGCTAAAGACTCATCAACTTGGGAGAGAGACTGCTGTATATGGTAGAAGTCTCTGAAACAATTTCCAAGACAGACAGGGTAAAGGAGTGATTGTTCAGGGTTTCCAATGTACAAAAAGTAGGGGGAGACCTTGGCAGCAGCTCTGAAATGTGAATATTTCATTTGATTTCAGTTGTGAAACCTGTAGCTTCGGAACAGTGTTGATGCCAAGTAGGTTCCAAAAGAGCCGGACCTTCCGGTCATTGGTTGTAGATAAGGGTAACCCAGACAGATGGGATCTTGGCAATCTCGGAAGCTGAATGGGGAGAGATCATGTCCCTGCTCACACCTCTGTGCACGGGACAGTAGCCTGGATGGACAACTGGCTCAGCCTTTCCAGATGCTGTTCTGCTTTACTTTTTCTGGCTCACATTTCCTCACTGCTCCATCTAGGCCCCCTTTTTCCAAGTTGGAAGATTCCTTTGAAGCTCTCTCTCTCTACCTGGGAGAACTTGCCATCCCCCTCCCATCTGAGCTGGAAGAGCTAGACCACAACGTGAGTGTGCAGTACGGACTGAACCGTGACAAGCTACCTGAAAACACAACCTAGTCAGCTTGTCCTGCTGCCTGCTGGAGTTCAGATAAGTGACAGGGAGGGAGATGCACTTCAGCGACTTCCAGGGCATTAACGGGGCACCACGCTGTGTGTTTGCTGCATTGCCTCTCTCTCCCCACCCAACACCTCTCCTCTTGGACATCCTGATTCACTGTGGATTTCTGGCATGTTTCAGAAGCGAAAAGGGCTGTTTCCTGCCAACTGCACCTAGGAAAGCTGCTCAACACTATTTTTCTGGCTTGAGAAATCATTCTCTGGCCTTTTCAGGCTTCTCTACTGTGGTGCCTTAGAACTTGGCTGCAAGCTGTGAAGCCACCCTGGCCTGTCTGCCAGGGAGGGAATTGCTGTAGGAGACTCTCCTGGGCAAGGACCAGCACTTCTGGAACTGCTTCTTCCACTGACTGCCCTGCTCAGAAAGACGGGGAAATTGGACATCCAACAAAAGGCCCCACCAGACAGCGTGTGTGTGTTTGTATGTTTGTGCATGTGTTTTCTAGAAAAACCCACCAAGATTTTGGCCTCCAGTGTGCATCAGGGGAGGGAGCGAAAAGCCCCAGGAATTGGGCAGCTCTCCTGAAACACCTTGTCTGTGGGGAAGCATGTATGAGTTTTTGTTTTGGTTTGGTTTTGTGGGTTTTTTCCTCCTCTGTCTCTGAATACCTCCAAAAGCCTGCCTAGAAACACTAAGACTGAGCTCTGCTTGCCCCTCCTGATGGTGAACAAGGCAGGCAGCAAATGAGCTACTTGAGCATCTTCAGACCCTGAGCCTGCACAGTGAGTTTGCTTGCCCAAGAACCTTAACCTAGGTGAAAGTATTTAGAACACAAACGTGTAGAACTGCACTAGGCGCTGGCTGTGGACGTCCCTGGAGTGCTGAACCTGCTTGAGCTTGTGGATGTGAGGTGGCAGAAGGTGCTCTTCAGAAAGCCCAAGGTCTGAAGTGGCTCAGACTTTGTGCATGGACAATGGCAAAGGGGGACATGCCCAACGTTACTTAAAGGATGGACTTGTCATGAACAGAAAAGTGCTGGAGAACGTCCCATCCTCCCAGGAGCGGCAGCTGGAGAACTAATAATTCAGTTGCCATTACCTCATCCTTTCCTGCAGGCTGTGCAAGTTGCTCCCTTCGAAGGTCCTTCTTGCAGCTGTTGCTGCAGCACCTGAGATGATTCTCCAAGCAGAAACTTTCCTCAGGGTCATTCCCTGCTTTTGGGGAGAAAAAATGGCTTGGAGTCATTGGGAGGTGGGTGGGGGTGTATTTGCTTCCAGCACTTCTCTTCTTCCTCCCTCAGTGGGAGAAGGAAGAAAGATAACTAACTGCTGCAGTAGCTCACGGGGTTGGCAGAACTGAACAAAAACCTGGCTCAAGTCCTGCTCTTCAGTTTCACAAACATCTTGGTTTAACTGGATTTCTAGTGTGCTCCTTTCTCCCCCCTTCCCTTTGGTATTGAATGGTGGGGAATGGGTGTTAGTCTTTGCTGTTACTTTGATTTCCTCTCCCTACCCATGAGTTTGAAGTATTACGTAAGATAACATGGGACCAGTCATCACCTGACAAAAGGTGTGCAGGGGAGTTTAGTCAATGTAGTAGTGTTTTAGAAACACTGGGGACTCCCTGTGCTGAGTCAGTGGAGGAGCCTCTCTAAACTGGGTCCAGTGGATTCGGGACTGTTAATAGGATTTGCCCTCTTTCCCCCTCCCAGGCTGGTTTGTGAGAGGACCCCTGAAGGGGAGAGTTCTGGGTGATGTGTGGGTGGGATTTATGAACTGTGATTTGCACAGCTCAATGTTCTAACTAAATTAAAAAGCAGTAAATGTATGCTATGAAAACAAGATTGTGTTGTCTGTGTTACATAAAGCAGGAAACTGTAACTTTCTTGGGTTTCTACTGTTGTCACAAAACGGCAACACCAAAACTGCACAGATCAAGTATCGTAATCTACAACTCCCTTTCTTGAGCTAAAGGGCTCTAACACATTTACAAAACTATAGGGATGCAGTGCAAGTGCTCTATAGTACTGTTTACCTGGAGTGATGGAAAGGGAAGAAATTGTCAAGTTTTGGTGGTGGGGTTTTTTTTTCCCTCTAAGGGTGGGTGGACAGGAGTCAACGGAACATGGAGCCTTTCCTCATTTTCTTTTTCTGGTCCAGGGATAAAAATACAGCCTGTTCTTGGAAACCTCTTATTCTGAAATACGTAGCTCAAGGGGCATTTGTTAAGCCAACAACTGAATGAAAATGCTATGTCAGTGCCTCCTGTAACCTGCTGTGCTCTGTCTCCATCAATGCAAGGCCCCGAGGGATGGAGCTGCTGCTGAGCGGCTCCAAAGCAGAACTGACCTGTGTCAGTGCAGGAAGGGGCTGTAACTGAGAGTGTCTTCCCATGGGCCAGGCTGCTTAGTCAGCAGAGCTCACACACCCACAGCTGCTTTTCAGGAACAGCATCCCAGTCCAAGACTAGCTGCTGGCAGCAAGGAGACACCCTCCATGCCCCTTGTCAATACTGGTGCATGTAGGGATTTACCTTTGGGTCTGGCAAACTGAAGTGGCATCTTCTCCTCAATTTGAAGTCTGCAACAAGCAAAAGGATGCTGCTCTGGCAGGAGGAATGTACAGATGAGCCACAGTCCACACGGGTCTACAGAGCATTTTTTTTTTTTAAGCTTTAATACAAGGTAGCACAATCTGCACCTTCTCATAATGAGGTATTTAAAACATTTTACAAAGAAATGGTATTCAAAGGCATTTAAAAATAAAACATTTCCCTTTTCTGAATCAAACATTAACACTAAAACCCCTGCTGCCAAGTGCTGCTCCCTGTTAGGCCCAGAGCTATAAAGCACATGGCTAGAAAACTTACTTGAATGGCTTGAATCCCCAAAGCTGCGAATGGATGTTTCCCTGAACTGGCCTTGCCTTGGTGCCGTTTGGGAGACACTGCAGCAACCATCCCTTCCAAACTCCCTGAAATGCTAACAAAAGTTGTTACAAAACCTCTAATAGGGCCAGGCTCTGTAAGCAAGTAGTCTTGCTGCACAAGCTGAGTGTGTGGGAAGGAGGCTGGGCCAGGAGCCATGCCGTAACTTAGGGATCTTGCAAGAGCAGCTGCCCTGTCCTGCCCTTGGAGCAAGAGCTGCTGCATCATGGCCAGGGTGGTCTCCACAGCTGGCCTGGCCACTCTGTCCAGAGCTGGCTCTGTAGAAAGCCAAGGGAATGTGGAAGAGGATGTTATTGATCCTCAGTGCTCAACCTGCTGTAGGTAACTGAAGGGCAGTCTGTTTTCTTCACAACCATCTACTGCTAGCCTTTGGTCTCCTGATCTGTGTATGTAAGTGAGCAGGAGGTACAGACCACCTGGACACCTACAACTGTGGCTGTGCATGTAGCACCACAGGGGAATGGAGATGTGGCCTCAGCCCTGGAAGACCTGGATTTGTCAAGAGCGTGAGAAGAGCTTTTCCAAATTGACACTGGGGCTAAACATAGTGCTCCTGGTCAAAGCCATCCCTCAAATAAAGTCTTCCTTGGAAAAAACAAAAACAAAAACAAAAAAAACCCCGATCCGGTAGCAGGATTCTGGACGCTGTCTCCAGCTTTCAGCCACTATAGCAAAAAGGCAGGAACTATAATCAGAGTGTAATTATCTAGCTAAGTCTGATGCAAAACTCCCCTCGGTCCCTGCAGTACTGCTCCCTCCTGGCATTCCAGGCTGAACCTTAAGTAACAGTGCACACCGTTAAATAGGAAAGGAACAGAAAAAGAGGAAGACCACACTGCGAACTACAGGATCTGTGGCCAATTGTGAGTCCAGCCCATCATCCCCCCCCAGCTCCCTGGTACGCCATGGAGATAGGTAGGAGGAAGCAGCAGGGTCTACCACACCAGACCCCAGCTGGTCATGCACTGAATGGTGTCCCTCAAACAGATCATTATGAATAGCCCATTGCTCTGTCCCTCTGCATCACCTTCATCTGGCTTTCATCAAAAAGAAAACAAAATAGAAATGAACACACGCAACCCTCGCACTCACAGTGGGAAGCTGGAGGCTTTGCTCAGCCTGTACCGCTCCTGCCCAAGCTGCTCAGGCACCAGGAGTACCCGCCTGACCCATAAGAGGGCCACTGCCATCACACGTGTCTTCCACAGGCGTCTGGCTGGTGTGCACCACAATTGTGTTCTCATCTACAAGCTCACAGGCAGGATTGGTGAATGCTGAGAGCGGCAGTGTGATGCGCTGCATTTCACGCTCATAAACTTTCTGTTCATGCTTTTCCTTCAGGTCTTTCCCCCTAGATTAAAAAAAAAACAAAACAAAACAAACATACATGTACTTGGAGTGAGTGCCACTGCTTGGAGGCAGTCTCAGTAAAGGTGATACAGTAGAAAAGAAGGGACTCTGCTCTTCAAGAAATAGATGTTTCAGCTGTACAAAGGGCCCAAAACATTCCCTACTGTAAGCAGAGGACCCCATGTGAGCACGTTTAAAAAACGAGCAGCCAAGTGAAGTCTGTCCCTCCCTCATAAACTGGCTTATTCACTAACATTGCTACAGCTAAATGATGACTATAAAGCCAGGCTTCTCCTTCAAACCATGGAGCTAACAAATGTTTCTTCACATCTTGCAGTCCCACAGAACTGCCTGGTGCAGGCCCAGGGGAGCAACAAGACAGCACAGAGCCCGTTGCTGTGCAAAAGAGCTTCTGTAACCTGCTTCATCGGATTGATAGAAACAAGTACCAGAGGTGGTGACAGATTCTGCCTTTTTTTGCTGCAAACCAACCTGTGTAGCAAATTAAGCCATTACTGACAGTATTGAAGCTTACTTCAGTGCTGGCCCTGCCTTATGTGTTTGCATCTAACAGCTTCATACCACAACTAGCTCCTCAAACCTACCTCACTCTTCAGCCTGTTGCTAAGGGAGGCAACACCTCTGTAATTTGTACTGAGAAAGAACTGCCTCTCTTTAAAAATGGATGGCATTAATAGCATGTTGTCTCCAGAAAAGCTACGTATACCAAAAGCTACTGAACCAATGAAAGGTTTCTCACCACACCTACCCAAACCTGCCAGCTTGCACATGCCATTTTGAGAGTAAGGCAAGAATGGAGAGAGACATTAAACCTGCACAACAGCCCTGCTGTGAGCTCTCTGGGATTGAAGAAGCAAAGCTGCATTTGGACAAAGCTGAACATTGGTCTGTTGCTTCTTCCCACCAAAGACAGGAGTGAGGTGGGACAGGCACCACCCACCCACTCCTCCTGGGGCTTGTGATCCCAAGCAGGCAGAGCTGCTGGGGTTTCCTGTCAGCACATAAGCATTTTGGCTGCTTTTCAAAGCTGCCTACCAGCGTGCAGCAGTGGCTGCCATTCCTGCCAGCACACGAGACAGCATTCTCTGAAGTGACACCTCAAATCAGATTCCTCGACAAGCAGCACTCTGTTTTGCCCCTTATGTAACACTCCTCCCTCTGTTAGGTTTTTTTCTGTTGGCATTTATTATAAACACTTACATAAGGACATGTCCCAGCTTGGGAAAGGGCTCCTTCTGCTTGGTTGTGTCAGACCGCTGTCAAACAGCCAAAATACAGAACAAACCCTCCCAGAGGAGTGAGCCTGGGCCTTCACTTGCTGCAGCAACTTCACTATTTGTTAATCCTGCCCTGTCTCTTACAACCAAGCTGCTTACTATTACCACTAACCTCAAACACTGCTAAGCTACAGCAACATTTCTGTCCAACATAGTGAAGTGGCTAAACAAACCATAACTTCAGTGTAAATCAAAACTGACCTTAAAGTATACAGGAGCTTTGGTAAAATTAACTTTTGACAAAAAAAAAGTGCTACTCGATATTCAGCTTCATAGGATACAATAAATGAGTGGCAGAGAATTTGCCAATTGTTTTTCTTCTAAAGCTAGCTAGACTAGAGAAACCAGGGGAACAGGTGGCCTGCTAGAAGGACTGTTCTTTTTCTGATCACAAAAGAAACTTCCTGTGAGGGCACCTGGGATCTGCTCTCTCCAGCCCTTACACAAAATTCAGCTCCCCTGGATGCATCTGAGAAAGGAACATCAAGGTGCACGTGCACACACACAAACACAAAAAAAAAAAGAGCACAGTTTGAAACTATAAATGGGACAGAATACCACATTGATGGGTGCAACAGAGAAGAATGGAATTAACTCAAATAGTTCTTTCCTTAGTGCAACAAGCGCTCTTGCACAACATGCCATATCAAAACATAAGCTTCTATCTGCCATTGGGATCTGGTTAGGT